CCCTCTCTCTCTCTTCTTATTCCCGTTGAAGCGTGACGCGTACGTATTTAACAATAGTAACAAGACTCATCAGTATCTTGACGTGTCCGATACATGGTGATCCCTCGACGGACGGTGCTTGTAATAACGGTCGTAATAGTTTTCTTTGGCCGGGTATCTTGTCGTATCGGCGAACCTAGCGTCAACCTCCTTCGCGTCCGGCGGATACCTGGCGTCTACCACTTCTCTGTTCTCGACAGCGTATCTGCCGTCCGGGTCTCTACCATCGACCGTGTATCTTCTATCCATGTCACGATTATCCACCGGATATCTACAATCAGCCTCTCTACCGTCAGCCGGTATTCGATTGTCCGCGTGTCTAGCATCCGGATATCTGACATCCAGCGTGTATCTACAGTCCGTCGACGCGTAACGGCCGTCCGCCTCGTAATAATTTCGATCGTAACCGTAATTGTATCTAGCTTTGTCCGTGTAGTCCGGATTCTCCATGACCGGGTACACAGCGCGTCCTTCGTAGTTGGTGTATCTTGTGTACTCCGTGTCGGTTGGATACGCTGTGCTAGGGTTTGGGGCTGCTGCCACTGCCGCCGCTGCCGCCGTCGTATGCTGGACCATGTAATTACGTGTGTCGTACCCGGGATCCTCGTAGGACGGGTAACTCGGTTTCTCGTACGCATTATAGTTCTGGCCCTCGTACTTGTACTTATTGTTATCGTCGTACGGATAATTGGGGGGGTACGACGGATAATGCGTCGTTTTATAATCGTACTCCGAATCGTACCTAGGTGTATTAGCAGCTTCGGATGTATTTAAGTTGATATACGGTTTCGCCACAGGTACCCGTCGACTACTCGGCGTATGAACCGGTATAGGGCGGTAGCATTCATTGTGTTTGCTCGTATCATACTGACGAGCCATCATTAAGCCATCAATATTCTGCAACCAGATACACCAAGCCCTCGACAATCACATACATATTTTTCATCTATTATAATTGAATTACACACATATACGCACTCTCGCTCATTAACATACTTCTTTTCTTTTCTTTTCTCTCTCCCTCTCTCTCTCTCTCTTTCGCGCTCTCGCTCTCTCCCCCTCTCCCTCTCACTCTCTCCCACTCTCTCTCTCTCTCTCTCTCTCTATCCTCTCTCTAGTTTCATCTTTCTTTTTTTTTTTTGTTGCTCTTAATCTTTCTCGTTTGCTTCAACGTGTCATACCACATACCAATTTTATAAAGCTTCCAAGCCTATTATAATCGTGACCACGCGCTAATGAAAGATTCTTTTTCTTTTTTTCTTTTTCCATGATAATAAGAAACTTGTGCACCGACTTTACGCGTCTTCCACATTCTACGTCTCTGCTCGTATCGACACCATCAGCATCATTCTACAACTATTAAGTAAGGTTCGATTAATTGTTAATTGCTGAATGATTCTGTGCATTATCGTTTACCGATCTTTCGTCAGAGTTCAGTCTAAACCACTGGAGCTGCAAGTATACTTCTCCACGCAAAATTCAATCCTCACCTCAAAAGATTATGACAATTTGTTACGTTATACACATCTTTGACTGCACACACTGTCACGCACAAACCATATCCATTACAATGTTTATATCTCACGTTTTCAAGGAATTGTTACATTTAATCGATACTCGACTATTTGCCATGTTTGAAGCTCACTCCCAGTGTATAACATGTGTTTTGGTGTGGAAAATAAAAATCAATCTCTGTAAATCTCGTGATCCCACAGACGTAATGATACTGTTCTGTTACTCTGACAAGCTAACAGTTGTATGATACATAGAGAATTCTTATGAAAATTTCGCATTCAGAATCGAATTTATAAAGTGGCAGTCCTGCGTGTTGCGACTAATCTATCCTGAGTTCTGTATAAATCAATTGGGTATAA